TTTTGTTTTCTTCTTGGTAGAAAACAGGCAAATATAAAGAAAAGAATATGATAAATAACATAAATACCGGCAAAACCAGTGAGAACATATTGATCCAGTGTAGTAGTTAAATGAATGAAATCTGTTTTACATATTGCATGCCATCCAAGTACAAAACAGATGAACACGATTGATAACATATCATAAATATCGAGAGATGTCAAGTAACTAACCGTTGGTAGATATCGATTAATGACAAAACGAAAATTGATTGATGTTAATAGAGTGGTGGCACATGATGATATTCGAGCTGATGAGCTAATTTGACTAAAATCAAATGAAAATGAAACAAAGACCGTTGTAGTAATAAAAAATAATGGTATTAAACCATTCCAAATATAAAATTGACTTTTTCTCGATGCTAAACAATTAAATCTGACAACGGGATAAATATTCGATTTTATATATGGTGTTTGTTCTTGATATGTTGTTTGTTCAAACGATATAATTTGACTAAAATCCCATCGCTGATTATCTCTAACAGCTTTATAAGCCAAATAAGAATATTCTTGTTTTGGAATGAATATTAAACGATTTGTCGGATGCAAGCTTGTTACAATTAAACCTAAATTTTGTGTATCAAATGGAAAGGCATGAACTTCTAAACTTTCCAATAATGTACCCATTAATTTCTGATACTGGATAACGCGTGTGGTCTTCGAATCTGGTAAATATTTCACTTCATATCGTGTTTTGATAACTGGTTCATCGATAACATTATCAAACACAAGTAATGGATTCCAATGTATATTTTTATCATAGACAAATGGTTGATTAGGATGAACGATGATACTATTATCAATCCAAGATGAAACAATATCTATTTCAGCATTATACTTTTCTTCGATTGAATCAATGTACGTTAATTTATTAAAAACGACATAGACTTCAACTTCAATTGGAAGTGACATGATTTTGAAAGAATCAAGTGAATGTATAAAAAGTGTAAAGAAGCAAAGTCGAATTGATTGTGTATTCTATTATAAATTCATCAGCTGCTACAAATTATCAACTGTTCTGTTCCCTTATTCATATGAAAATTTCATGAGAAAGATGAAATTTGAATACTTTACTGATAACCTTTAAACAGAAATTGTAGAAGAAGGAAGCATCTATAACCCTCCGTTTGTCTCAGAAAAGCAAATGTTATTTTAAACACACTAATCTATTAATTTTTTACTTTTAGTTGAGAAAAATTGGTCTTAATTTAGAATGTTTGAAATAATAACTTTTGCTTCTTAAGTTAAACAAGTGCGAAATGCGAGTTTTACACATTCATTTTCTATGTGTATACGTCAAGAGTTCATTGAAGAGGAATTATTCTTTTTGAAATCATTGCGA